GTTGGGCATTCCGTGTTTACGCAGCAGCCCCGCCCTGTCTAGCGTCCGCCAATTCCCCTCGCCGCAATTGCCAGTATTTCTCTCTGACTCGATCTATTCTCATTCTCCTTACGCGGAAGCCTCAGGGTGTTGAGGTTCGAACTCCTGTGAAAATTGAGATAAGATGTAATGGTAATTTAATTGATAGATTATTTAACCAATATACTTTTATTTTAAAGCTTTTCGAAACAGTATAATTAGATAAATTCACATAAATCATTTATTCCCTCCTTCTCTATCTCTCTCTCACCCCTCTCTACCTCCCGCTCATCACTTCCTCCCGCTCCTTTCTTCCCCTCCACTTCTCTCTTCCTCTCATTCCTCTCTCCCCCTCCTCTCATCTCTCCCCTTCCTCTCCCCTCCTCTCTCCCCCTCCTCTTATCTCTTTCCCTTTCATCTGCCACCGCCTGTCCCTCCCCTTATCCTTCCATTCTCCCCCTTTCTGCTTTTTCTCTCTCTCTTCTCCCTCTCTTCTCTCTCTCTTCTCTCTCTCTTCTCTCTCTCTTCTCTCTCTCTTCTCTACCTCTTCTCTCTCTACCTCTTCTCTCTCTACCTCTTCTCTCTCTACCTCTTCTCTCTCTATCTCTTCTCTCTCTATCTCTTCTCTCTCTATCTCTTCTCTCTCTATCTCTTCTCTCTCTATCTCTTCACTCTATCTCTTCTCTCTCTATCTCTTCTCTCTCTACCTCTTCTCTCTCTCCTCTCTCTCTCTCCTCTCTCTCTCTCTCTCTCTCCTCTCTGTCTCCCGCTTTCCATTGATGGGTTATTACCTCTCCTGTTCTAAAGATGTAGCCCCTGCACGAGCCAAGCGAGTAGAAATGGCGCGCCCGTGCCTGCGTGCCCCCGCCTATAAAAGTCATCCCTCCGGTTGACCGCGCGCGCCCTCAGATGCGCCGCCGGGCGAGCGGCGCGGGCGAGCCAAAGGGCGGCGACCGCGAAAACAGAGGCGCTGGACGGTGAAAGTGAACCTCGGGGCCAAGGGCGTCGCGGCGCCAGGGCCGACGCCGGCGCCGGCAACGGCGTCGCAGGGGTCAACGCGCGCGCGCCCGCACACAGCGCCCACACGCGCCCTTTCGCTCTCGGACCCGACCAGCGCCACGCCGCCAGCGCCGGCTCGTCCGTCGCCCGAAGCGCCGTCCCCGCGCCCCGCAGCCACAAGGCCGCGCCTCAGCGTATGTCCTGGCACCCTGCCCGGCACCCGGCCCCATTGCCCCGCTACGGCGCCGCGCCCTTCTCCCCGCCTCTGCACCCAGCCTCTGCTCCCTTACCTCACTCCCACTTGAGCACCGTTCCCCGTTTCAGCGCATTTCCTCACTCTAGCGCCGTTACCCGCTCTAGCGCCTCTCCCCGCCCTCGCACCGTTACCTTCTCTAGCGCCTTTGCCCGCTCTCGCTCCGTGCACCGGTCTATACCGTTGGCCGCTCTAGCGCCGTTCTCCGATCTAGCACCGTCCCCGATCTAGCCTTGTCCCCGCTACTGCACCGCTTCCCACTGCAGCACCGTCCCCCGCATTAGTGCCGTTCCCCGTTTCAGCGGCGCTCTCCGCTCCTGCGCCGTTTCCTTCTCCAGCGCCGCTTCTCACTTCAGGAACTTGTTCCCTGCGCTCTGTCCTGACCTCTGCCTCCTGGATCCCGCACCTCGTCTCCGCACACCGACCTGGTCGCGCGTTCCCGTATTCCGCTCCGGGTTACGTCCCGCGCTCTCTTTTCTCTTCCTCCACGCTCAGAGCCAGCACCCGTGGCCTTGCTGTAGCAGCTGTCTCCCAAGCCCCGACTTCCCGCAGTAAAGAGCCTATTGCCCCAGAGCACCCACTTCATCCCGTAATTTTTGCAACCCACGACTTGCCACCTCGCCCCACCACACGCGCCGCGCAACTCCCGTCCCCTCATCACTTGAAACTTGCACCTCCCGCGTCCCGTGCCATTCGTACTCTGCATTACCTCCCGCTCTTCACCCCTACCTCCGCCCTTGTGCCCCACTACCCTCTTCCATTCTCTAAACCTTTTCCCCTCTCTATGGCCTCACTCCACGTCCGTTTTCACATTTCGCTCCCTGCTCCTTGCCCCGCTCTGCTTCCTTCGCCGTTCGATACTTCGTGGTATTTTTAGCCAGCGCCATGAATATAGTTGTCTTATCGACAGCTTCGTTAGCATAGCAAACGAATGTTGTTGACGGCTGCTGCTCCTGCGGCGAGTGAGATAATGAAATGGCCGCCCCGGGGAGGCCGGCACGGGCCACGTGCGCTGCGCCCGCTCGCAGGTTGTGGGACAGCGTGACGATGTTGATATGCTCGCCACGCGCCCTTGTCGTCGGCCCGAGTGCGTGCGCTTCTAAACAGTATTTTGTGGCAATTGAACACGTCGTTTCTTCGAATCGTAAATGTACGTTTTGTGTCCGTTTTTTTCGCTGGATGTGCTTGTTTGTGTTTCCCTTCCAGTTTATTCTGTTAAGTGTCTTTAGAAGGAAATTATTGAAATAAAAAAACTAGACGACCATCCTTCGTTGGATCCATTGTTGTCAGTACTGTTCTTCTTTTATTCACAGTTGCCTCTTATCAAATGAACAAGTTCTGAGGGGTTAATGATTGTAGCATTTCAACCTGCATACTAGGCATTAAGCTTTCGTATGTTCTATATGTTTTTACAAAGTTGTCATTTTTAGTGTCTGAAACATATCATTTATTATTTACCCTTCTCCACGAGTGCTTTGAAAATGGTTGTTAAATCCCCGACTCCCGAAATGAGGATGGGAATTATCTGAGAAGTTTCAAAGCACGAGTGGTTTTAATAGGGTTATTTCATGAATGAAATTACGTTCAACGGAGTTCCAAAATCATCAAATATTGAAAATAACTGAAAGCATGATTAAAATAAAAGAAGTTATGTTATAGTAGATAGCGGATTATTGGACATCGACATAGCGATCGATGTGCAACGTCTCGTAAGATAGATGAGTCACAATTTATGATTCATGCCAATAGGGAGAGGGGAGAAGAAAAATCGGATTGAAAAAGATAAACTTTTTGATATACACCGCTCTGATTGGGGCATTTAGCATGTATACTTACATAGTACTGGTTTCACTTTCTTGAGTGGAATACTCGTAATAAAGAGGCAGAAAGCAATAGTTAACATTAGGTGTGTGTGTGTCTGTGCGCAGGAGGCGGGCGGCATGCAGCGCTGCCCGTACATCCACGAGATGAAGGAGCGGCTGCTCAGCCAAACGTCGCACCCGGACCAGATGTCGCTCGACGGCATGGACAAGGACGTGCTGGAGGTGCACGGCGACCCCGCCGTGGGCACCATCGTCAAGGTGAGCCTCGCAACGGCTGCACGCCCGCTTTCCGTCTTTTGCCCCCCCCCCCCCAACGCACTCATAATTAAACACACACAGTAAAACCAACCGGAAGCATAGACGTGCGGAACCTAAAACACGAGAGAAGAGCAACAACTTTTTTGTACTCTATTATCTATTCAACTTTTTACATTTTACTGGTTCAAAAATGTGCATATTTTTGTCTTTTTTGAAATGTATTTTGTGTGGTGTATGACTTCGCTGCATTTCTTGGGAATAGTTTCCTATTTTTTCAGCATGTTAAACTGTTTTCGATCGATTTTTTTAAAACGTATTTTTAGGAATTTGTGTGGGGGATTTGAGTCCCAACAGCAACTTTTAAAGGGTCCACTCGAAAGTTTCGTTACTTTTTTGCATTCAAAATGTGAAATTATTTTACAATTATGAAATATTTTTGCAAACATTGAAAAGTCATAAATAAACATATTTTTTTATTCTGAAAAAGCGACCTCAGAACCAGAAGTGTTGACTTTTATATTATTTAATTATTACACCGATTGTTTACAAATTTAATTTCCTAAGCAAGAATTCTTGCTCTCTCTAAAGTTTAAAATATATTTCTTATGTTCTATTCACATTTTATTGGGAACTTAATAGTTACGGAAATAATGTTTTATTATTTAATGCTACTGCGCCTCTTACAGTATTTTCAGGGGACCACGACCCCTTGCTCCCTCTTCTGCTCACGCCCATGACCATGAGTAATTAGGTGAATTCCTGGGTAATTGCCCATACGTAAACACTGGTGCATTACTGTTAAAATAAATGTATTTTCTGTTAGAGCATTGTTCATACCCTTGTATGTTAGTACCTGATTCCTGAGACACCTTGTACAGTTGTATACTTGTTGCGTCAATTGTGTTATATCCGCGGGAGCTAACACACCGGTCAACGTGTTGTCACACCACATGCAATTGTTTTGTGAAATGACATTGCGTTAGATGTAGCAGTTTCACAAACGTCTCTTTATTTATGATACCTTTCGTAATTCGCTTTGGTTTGAAGAATGGACAATTTTTAAAATATTACAATTGTTTCCTCTTTGTCTAGTATTTGTATCAAACGTTTCTGATGTAGGATACCTTGCCATATCAAAAATGAGGCCCGGATCTGTAAGGGTGTCATGTTGTTCGGAAAACCATTTAACTTTGCAAAACTTTACGTCAAGGAGAAAATTCTTCATCGAGCTTTTTCAATAGATATACTGGCAAACTCCTTTGCTTTTCAAAGCGTATGCAATGTATCCAACTTTTTAAATTTGTTTCCACCCTCGCAATGTACCACATCCACACTTTCTAAACATGTCTATGTACTCGCATCATAATTCCATGAATGAAATTTTGAAAAATCCCTAGAAAAAAGTCGTGTATGCTAAAGAACTGCATTTACCAGGCTTTCAGTGCATCTTGCATCATTATCACCATACGTGAGGCGAGTGTGTGTGCGCACGGGTGGGGGCCGTATGTGACGCGCGTGTGTGTGTGTTGGGTGTTGCAGCTGAACCCCGACGGCTACGGCTCGCACACATCGCCGGCGCATCACTGCAGCCGCCAACACCTGGCCGACGACCTGTCGCCGCGCCCGCCCAAGAACGCCAAGTGAGTACCTACACTAACGTGTATAAAATCTTATATCGTACACTAACGTGTATAAAAAAAGAAACAATGAACTAATTTTTTATCTCCTGATGATTGAAGAGGATCAGAGGGGATACCCCATCTTTCTATGTAATAATAGAACAAAACAAATGGTGGAAGTTGTATATAACTGTTCTGTCAAGTGGTTACTGCACCAGAAAAAAAGTGAGTACTGCGTTGTGATAGAAACTTTTCTTAAAAAAAGAGCATTCGAGCATTCATATTCCGTGTTGTTTGAAAGGAACTCGCAGTACCTCTTCCTGCGAAAAGGACACAAGTACATGGATTTTTTTTCTGAATGTACTGTGTTCTGGTTCAGTATGCTTATCATTGTCTCTTCTTGATCGCGTATTTTTTTTAATAGTTTGACGACGCTCTACTGGGATGGTGTCGCTGCAAACAATTAACAAGTAATGCTTGGAAGCTTCGCAAAAAAAGAGATTCTGTTAAATCGGGTTATGCCAGGTGTGAAAGAACTGACATTTACATTTAGAGTTCAAAACTAGAAAATCAATTTTCGCAAATCTATCCAGAATTTTCATGGCATATAATGAGGAATGTTAATTGTTTGTGAAAAGCAACGTGAAAAACGTCTCTTTAATTTAATATAAAGTGTTCGTTTATGGAACTCTATGTGAAAGTAAATTCTAGCTACTATACTGAGCTTCCTGTGGCCGAGATTCGTGATCTCAGAGAAGTTCGAGAGTAGGTTTACCCGGACGACTTGGACCGCGAGAACCCGACCCCACGTCACTGACTCGCAAGTCCCGCGCCCTGGCTGCTGCGTTGTTCTCCTACGTCGCTCCTCCTCCGCCCGTGCGGCTGGCGCTGCGCGGCGGCGCGGAGCCCCGGGAGGGCCTTCCCCTCGCGGCCACGTCGCGACGGGAGCCCCGCGAAGGCCGGGGGCGGGGCGGCAGCGTAACCCGAGAGCCCGGGCGCGGCTCTGCGGTCGCCGCCGCCGCCGCCGCCGCCGCCGCGACGCGCCGTCGCTGGAGCGTGGCCGCGAGCAGGTGCTGCGACGCGGGACGACGCGTCACGCCACAAGAGTCACCCGGAGGCGACTCTCTCGACGCGGCTCACAATAAAATTACAAGGGGACTCATGCCTACTGATGCGATCTCTAAAACAAAACAACGATATTAGCTAACACGGATGTTCGAAATTAAAACATCGGTGTTCAAAATACATCGACTAAAAACCATCGATGTTATTTTTTTTTCAATATCGATGTTTTTAGACTGGATTATTAACCCATAACATTAAATTTGTGTGCATTAAAATTCAATTTGTCAGTGTTCGTGTTTATCAATTAAAGGTACAAAACGATGGGGCAGACCCTTCGCCCACAGCGTATTTGTGCTATACATAAGCCACTGTAGAAAATGAATACGGGGAAACAGGAAATACAAGGTCATCTAGATCATCTAGGGCGAGAAAGTTTGGTCGATGAAGATGGTGCAAACAGCGTTCCTTTGGTTCCAACACATGAATAACAGTGTTACTATCAGGTATATTTCATATTTTAACTTTCACAGTATTGTGATCATGGGATTTTTTTCATTCAAAAACAAAACATTGGAGTAGTAAAAAAACATCGTCCACAAAACATCTGTTTAAAACATAGATGTTTTATACAAAAACATGGATGTTTTGAAAACATCGACATCGATATCCCAACTCATGACGAAGGTCCGCAATGAATCTGTTTTTTCCCATGTTGGGTGTCATCTGCATTGAATGTCGGGAATGTAAATTCCAAAATTCAGGACACTAATGTACTTATAAAATGTAAGCAACTCTTTTAAAGTCATAAAACTTTTAATCATCATCATTAATCATTTATACATCAAATTTTAATGAAAGTATTACATTTTTAGTTCCTTCTTAGTGATTAAGTAAATATGGGAGTATAAAATTAGGTTGTTAGATGGAAGAGCAGACCTTATGGATGAGTCTGGCTACTTCATAAAAGCAATTATTACTAAAAATTGTACATGTTCACAAATTGTGTGAGTGTTTCTTCTTCAATTCTTCGATATATTGACAAAGAAAAAATATGACAATTTATTACAATGCAACAGAGATTTTTACCGTTTTCAATTTTATTTTCATATATTCAGATTTGCCTTAGTTAGAAATCTCAACATGGGTATTGCGGAGATGATTAAAGTCCAAATTGAGGGTGTGATTGTTTGCCGGTGTTAATTACTCATTTCTAGGGGTATAGGTAAAGGCCGAATAAGACATAAAACATTATTTTCAGGAGCAATTACTTATTTCGATAATTACATCGCAATACTGATTGAAAATATCTGTGGCAAAGTTCTAATGTTAGTCATGTTAGTGCGCTGTTAATTATTTCGATTCAGTATTGCCATGTAATGATAAAAATAAATACTTAGTTTAGATTTAGAGACGTTTATCAGTTATCAATTATTATCAGCTTCAAATTCAATAGTTCTCGTGTCCCCAGGCGGAAGTTTCCACTGCATTTTACTCGTAGCTGTAATAAAAGGGCGATCAGACATCCTGCTAATTACATTTTCTAAAAATTTACGGGTATGTTGTCTTCTCATCGAATTATCGCATATATCCACTCTTTGAAACTACGTACTCTGTGCACTGCGAGCAGTTGTATTAATTACTCTGCTCCTAAATGCATTACATTTCCCATTTCGTTTTAAATTAAGGATTAGGCTTTAGGCCAAGCGTAGCTGAATCTCCAGTGGACACAAATTAATTATTATATTATTAAAGAAGAGACGCATGCTTTATGCTTTATCGTGTTTGTCTAACGGCAACTGCAAAGAAGACGTACAACGGGACGAGTTAAAAAAGGTTAACTTATGTACATGAAGAAAAATGTATTTTCTTGAAATCACTCCGGGAATAGAAAATAAGTTTCATAAACATGATTTTCAAACACATTGAAAATTAATTGGCTCGAATATGATTAGATGTTGACATGTATAGGTTTTGTTGCAGAAATGGCTTTGCGTATGAAACGCATGAACGAAATGTCGATGCGATTTGTGCAACCCTATCAAATAGTGAGCTGAAATCCGCACGAACCTCTCATAAGTAATTTACATTCAGCGGCGATCGATACCCCGTGCGGTAACTCAACTCGACCGCGAACATTCGAGAGCAGGATTGGTGCAACGAGAGATACGTGAACAGATTAGAGATACCCACCGGCTTGCGCAGTCTAAAACAAGAAGGGGGGACCACTTATTTGATTCCACTTTTCCTTTGAACGTTTAGATTTGTAAATGATATATCTTAACAGTAAATTAATAAAATATTCTTCAATGAGAATGCAATTTTTTACGTGAATTATACGGTTATTAAATACAATTAATTTAATGAAATATCATTTTCACGGTTGCCGGGAGAGTTTGAGAGACAGTTTCTCAAAGGTCTTATAACATTTTTTACATAAAAGCATCCGGATTTTGAAACCATCCACATCGGTATCGCATCGCTGACAGCTAGTCAACTGTCTGGGAAAGTCAAAATCGCGCGTGGTATTTATGAAGAATATGTAAGGAAGAAAGTCAATTATAAAAGACTATGCAGGAATAAAGTTAAATATGTAAATTTCTTTTAATGTGCAGTCCATGAGGCCAAATGCACATGTTAATAGGATGGTTCAGTTAACCTATACGGTTGTTGAAATTCTGTGAGAAAACAAAGGAGATCACAACACAATTCCGAATGGAATGATGGCTCGTGTGAAACATGTCTCAACGCCATTGGTTAAAATCACATGAGTGAAATAAGGAATTAATTTCTGAAATATTACTGAAAACGTCTCATGAGGTGGAGGTTCTGCTAGATGGAAGTGCCCCTGGTACTCCTACTCGTCAGAGTGGAATCTCCCTCGAGTAGTAAAATGTAAAAGGTATCTACATGTTGCGCAAGTTTCTGAAGGCCGCTCTATTACCCATATTATGTAATGAAGTTGTGAGGAACCCCACTCGCTCGAATGCGCCTCGAGTCTTTCCATCCATCACGTTGGACCCATCCCCAACCCTTGTCGCCCCTCACCGCTCCTCACCAGCCCGTCCCTTCTTCATTTGCTCGCTAGCGTCCGACCATCCGCGCCCGCGCCCGCCCGGCAACGCCCGCCCAACCCCGCCAGCCCCACCCCGCCCCGCCCTTCCCCGCCCCGCCCCACCACCGCCTCGCTCGCTCTTCGCTGGTTACGGTGCGCATGACGCATGTGCACCTCGGGCGCCGGAGAGGAAAAGAATTTTTAATGGGCTGCTGCAAAGCGGTTTTCAGCGATGTCAGGAGCTTTCCACGGGAGACGCTACTGCTCTGTGGTCTGCAGTAGGTGGAAAAGGGACCAAACGTAGAAGATTCGATACTGAAATTTGAAAAGAAAACTTCCTAGTTATTGGCTTTGAATCTCAGGATACATTATTTTAAAAATGTATGCATAGTAGTGAAGTCACTTCAACCCCATCGTCCTTACGAAATCATCCCAGCCTCACTCTCACTCGTCCGACAAGTCACCGCCCTCCGACCTACTCGTCCTTACCCTACACGCTCCTTCCGTACTCACCATATTACCCTCCCCTCTGCTAGCACGTACATTTACCCAAGCTACCCTCTGTTACCGTATGTGTGGATAAGCCTGAAGGAGGAATAATATATTCCAAAACTTTGGCAAACTGAAACATTTTTGTACGTCTCATCAACATCCCTTTCGATACATAGAAGACATGTGATTGAGAGTTGCGACGTACCATGATAAACATTTTCTCAAACAGTAACAATCTCTTTTTGTTACTGTTAAACAAAAAATGAATAATTGAATAGTACTCAACTGTTGATTGTCTTAATATATACTAAAATATATTTGCTATTTATGGTTGGTGTTGTTGAATTTTTGCCCCATCTTCAATTTTTCCAGAGATATCAAATAGTGTGCCTTTCGTAGTGAATTTAGTGTGCCACAACCCGTCTATTCACACGTTGAGCGACGTGAACAATTTGCATCTGCTTGTTTCGTGCATGCTGCCACTGTGCTCCGGGCGTCCTTCGATGTCAGCCTGGGCGAGGGCGTGGGCGGCGGCCGGGGATTAGGGCGGGCCTCCGTTGGGAAGGCGCTGGGAAGGGGCGGCGCAGCTGCTAAGCCTGCTCAGTGCGCTCGCACGGCCTGCGGCGCGCCCGGGGCCTTTCCGCCTCCCCCCGTTCGCCCCTGCATCCCCCGCTCCTGCCCCTACCTAAACCCTTCCAACCCATCCCTCCCCATCCCTACTCGCTCCACCATTCGTTGTCTTCCCACCTACTCACACCGCCCCTTCCTGCTCCTCTTTAAGTACTCCCACCCTAACCCCACTCACATTCATTCTAGCCTCTCCCCTTCCCCGACACACACTAACACCCACACCTGATTCCACTCCTGCTTACCTCGCCCCACCATTCCTTCAACTCACCTTCCCTCCGTATCTGCCAAGTCCCCAGCCTGCACCCGCTCTAGACTTTTCCCTGGCTCTGCGAAGAACTGTTTTTGGGTGATGCAGATGATTAGTCGATTATATTGATAACTAATTGCAGATTCACGTAAAATGAAAAGTAAATATTGATTTTTCAAACAAAAAAAAAACATTGAAACCGATCATTTTAACAAATTGCTACTCAAATATTGAAGGGAATTATAAATTACGTCGTTAATATATGTTAGGTCTTGTAACCGTCCATATGATTTTTCTCCTGCTACCACCACCATGCATGTGACGAAATGTAAATACCATATCCGTATGTGGTCTAAAACAAGAAGGTGCAACTACAGTTCTGGGATCGCATTTCCAAGTTTGGTATTTACTTATGACATATTTTACTGGGAATAAATAAAACGTACTACAAGGAGAAATAAATTATAACAATAATGCTACAATTAATAAATGCTTTTGATTTTAGGTGGCAACTGTGAACTTTACAATAAATACGAAAAAAGAAGAAACCGTAGGTTTCTTGGGAGAAATGTTATGATGTACTTAGTTGTGAGTTTTTATTTGATAGTGCCAGTCAACATTGTTTTGAGTTCGCGAGAAGGCGACGTGTTGTGATAGGCGTTGTAGATCGATTAAGTGAGGAAAAAAACTACTTTCCGGTGATTCTGACGTTTGTACAGACACTAGATGATACATTAAATGTAGCTACACTGAATGTATCTGGCATTTGTCTAAAGACGGACTAAGTTTGGGAATAGTTCCGAGAAAGGGACGAACGTAAGTGCCTGCATAAAAGGGCCAACTTCTCCTCAGGTCCCGCATCGCCTGATTCCACCTAAACCCTCCCAGACCCCCCCCCCCGTACCTCATCCATCTCCTCCCCTCACCATCATCCTCCCCCCATGCTCGCATTCACTCCCACTATTCGCAGACCTTCCACGTACTCTCTCATCTATACGTTCCTTCCTCCCTCACACCGCCCCTCCCCCACGCCCCTCCCCTC